AAGTCCCCCTCCCCCCCCCCCCCTCTCTCTCTCTCTCTCTTTCCCCACCCCTCTCTCCCCCTCCCCTCCCTCTCCAAGGGGCCAGGACACAGACCGGTGGTTACAATACATGGAGGAGGACCCTACTCCGGGGGCGGTCCTGTATGCAAACATACAACACGGGGGGGAATGAGTGGGTCCAAGCCACAGTACTGTGGTGTCACCTGGGCTCGGGCAGAGGGCATGGGGACAGTGACCGGGCTGTGTGACTGACCCATCCTTTCTTCTGATCCCTGCAGCTGGACCAAGCAGGAGCAGAGGACCCTCCAGCCCTGCGGCAGCACCCCCAACCGCCCAGGCACTGAGCTGGCGGGTCCGGCAGTGGGACCAACTTCCCAGGCCGTCGAACGGACTGAGGCAACCATCACCCGCGGGGTGGAGGCGGACCTGGAGTGGTGCCAGCAGGCCTGGGGCCGCTTCCCGGCCCAGTGTGAACGCGTCAGTGATCCTATCACTGCCCTCACCGCACACATTGGACACGCGGTGCATTATGGCATGGCATTGCCCCATGCACCCGCCATCGCTCCCATGGCAATGCCCATGCTCCCTCCTCCTGCAGCCCCTCCTGCTCCTGCAATGCCCCCTCCTGATGCACCCCACCCTACCCACCTCCCTGTGCTGCCTGCCCCAATGCGGCCTGACCCCCATGTCCTGGTCTGCCCCTGCAGAGGCAGTCACAGGGGCCATCCCGCCCCCAGCAGTAGCTCTCCCCTCCCAGTTCAGAGCCTCCTCTCCCCGTATATCCCCCCATTGTAAATAAAAAGTTCCAAACCTTGTTTGTTTTCCAAAAAAAACCTGTGTTGGTTGTTCATTGGGAGGTAAGGGTTGGGAATGGGAGGAAGATGTCAAAGGAGACAGAGGCTACCCTACTGTGGGGCCTGGGAGAACATCTCCATCAGGGCCTCCCGGATGCACACCCCATCATAGTGCGCCTGGCAGATGGCAGCTGTGTGGGGCTGTTCAAAGGGCTGGCCCTCGCCTGCCATCCATGCTGTGAGGAAGGCCTCCTCCTTCTGCTCCACGATGTTGTGGAGCACACAGCACGCGGCCACTACCTCGGGGACATTCCTCTCACCCATCTCCAGATGGGTGAGCAAATAGCGAAACCGGGCTTTCAGGTTTCCAGGATGCTTTCTGGTTGCAGACCCGGTTGAGGTGGTCGTTGAACCATGCTCGGTTGTGGTCTGTCCGCCCCATGTAGGGCCGCATTAACCAGGGCAGCAGGGGGTAGGCTGTGTCCCCACAACAAACGTGGCCATGGGCACGTCCCCGACAGTAAATTCCCACTGGGGGAAGAAAGTGCCCGTCTCCAGCCTGCCAAACAGGCCGGAGTTTCGTAGAATGCTGGCGTCACATGCCCAGCCGGACCAGCCCACATAAATGTCCAGGAAGCGGCCACGGTGGTCCATGAGGGCCTGGAGTACAATGGAGAAGTACCCCTTTCAGTTTATAAAATGGGCCGCTCGATGCTCCGAGGCACGGACAGGGATGTGGGTTGCATCCAGGGTTCCCCCGCAGTTGGGGAACCCAAGGGCAGTAAAGCCGGCCACTGTAGCCTCCACATCCCGCAGGCGGATGACTCGCTGGAGCAGGACATCATTGATGGCACAGACGACCTGCAGAAGGGTGCAAGGAAAAACACAGGGGAATGCATCACATAAGGCAGGGTGAGTGCGTGCTCCCATGGGGGGGGGGGTTCCCCCCGTGATGCCCTCTGTCCTCACACTCATACACCAGGGCCCCCACAGGCCACCCCCAACTCCCCCAGCATGTCTGTGCAAGGGAAGGACAGACCAAACTCTTGGGTGACGGGGCATTCCCCATCCCCCCAGCCTGGAGTCTTGCCTGCCCCGGGCATGGAGTGCAGCACCCTTCCCCCCCCGAGGACTTACCTGCATGACGATGGCACCAACGGTTGATCTGCCCACCCTGAACCGGTGTGCCACTGATTGGTAGCTGTCTGGGGTGGCACATAACTCCAGGAACGTCCGCTTTCGCATCCGAAAGTTCCGGAGCCATTACTGGTCGTCCCATTGCTCCAGGACCAGCTGGTCCCACCAGTTGGTACTGATGTCCAGTCTCCACAAGGGCCTCTCCATGGTGGGGTTGGGATGCCACAGGGATGCCATTGCCTCCCTGGTGAGGGAGTCCAGAGCGACCTGCACCTCGAGGTCCTGGACGATGAGTGCAGCAGCATAGAGCAGCAGCTGTAGGCACTCCAAAATGGCCGGAAGGGGCCAGAGCAGGCACAAGGCCACCTCTGGCTCAATAGCACAAGAAGAGCGCTGAGGTCAAAAAATCAGCTAATGGTACTAAGGCACAAGGCTGTTATGTCCAACAAGGCAGAGGGCAATCATAAATAGAACTGCTACGGCTGTCAGTCCCTGCAAGAGGTCCTAAAGCTCGCAGCAGGAGAGAAACGGCTGTCTGGGGAGATCCCTTTAAGCACGTGTCTCAAAGGAGCTCCAGCCCCCGCCCCCAGAAAGGGCTGGTGCCCTTTTGCCCTCTCCAAAATGGTTCCGGGCTCCCATGTACATGCTCTCTTGTGCAACTACTTTAACGCAAGAACTCTTTCATTCAAGAGCATTTGCGCAAGATCGCGCCAATGTAGACGTAGACTGAGTGACTTGCCTAGGTTGATCTAATATGTAAGTTACATCATTGAAGCCTGATCTATCTTCCATGATTATCCCCCTTCTATTCTCCTCCTTCTCCTGTCTCTGTGTATGTCCAGTATCTGAAGCAGGAGTCTTAAGAATGGTCATAGTTATGGGGGATGGGACATGATGGGTGTTGCTCACCCCACCCCCAACTACAAGACTTGAGCAGCCATGGAATTTGTCATGTGCAGCCTGGCTGGAGCTGCCCCCCCAAAATATAAAACTATACCTATGATTTTGAGGTCTTTGGATCTGCCTTCTTTCCAAAGCCCGTTAAAACACAAGTTCTTTACTGTCACTGGTTTTGTTACCATTTTCATTTTGCAGCACTCTCAGCCTCTATAAAGTTAAGGATAGGACTTTAGATTTTGTGGCCATTAATTCACTAACACGAAATCCACTTCAACATATGTTGACATCTGCGTCTTTATACATCATAGCCATGAGCTTTTGGAATGACCGCTATTCTGTGACATTGCCCATTATCTGCAGGCTCTGACAAGCTTTCTGATTTCACCATAAGCTGCTTTGCCCTCCCACAGATGCTCCAAATGGCCAAAGAAACACTTTTTGCATATAAGAATGTTGACCTGGGCCAGCCACACACCGGGGCCGTTCTGGACACTGGTAGCAGACTGACCACGGGGGCCCATGGCGGAGCTGCTCCAGCCCCCGCACTAGCTAACCAGAACAGATAAGCGAGCGATGCTTAACACTTAACCTTTCACATTCTGACCAGCCACACAGCCCACAGCGGTGCTAAGCCGTTAACACAGACACGCCTCAGCTGTGTCTAGACTGGCCAGTTTTTCCGGAAAATCAGCCGCTTTTCCGGAAAAACTTGCCAGCTGTCTACACTGGCCGCTTGAATTTCCGCAAAAGCACTGACTTCCTACTGTCTGAAATCAGTGCTTCTTGCGGCAATACTGTGCTGCTCCCGTTCGGGCAAAAGTCCTTTTGTGCAAAGGGCCAGTGTAGACAGCTCAGGTTTGTTTTGTGCGTTTGCGGAAAAGCGTCCTGCCAATCTAGACGCTCTTTTCCGGAAATGCTTTTAACGGAAAATTTTCCAGTAAAAGCATTTCCGGAAAATCATGCCAGTCTAGACACAGCCCTTTGGTATTTCTCCCACTGTGCCATGCAGGCCCATGCACAGCTGCAGGTAGCACCACGGCGCCCTCCAGCCCGGCGCCCGTTAGAAACGTTGCACCAGTGACCAGGCAGGCAGAGCCCCCAGACAGCACTACGGTAGGAGGCGGGGTTAGGACAAAGTGCCCGCGAGAACCTCCACTCCCCCTCCGCGCGCACAGCGCCCTGCCCCGCCCCTCGGACCATCCCGCTCCTACAGGCCTCCCCCCGCCCATAGCGCTGCCGCCCCACGCCGAGAGACGCGCCGCGAACGGGTTCTGAGCCAGACGCTTTCACGTCATCACGCCGCGCCGCACGCGGGTGCGCAGGACCGAGCTCCCGCACGTGTGCGGCGGGGAACATGGCGGCGGCGGCGGAGCAGAAGCTGGATCGCGCTCAGGTACCGCGCCCGGGGCCCTGCTGCCTCGCTTGGCCACTGGGGCGGGGCTCAGGCCTCGGCCGCCGCGCGTCGGTAGTTGGCGCGTTGGGGCCGGTTGCGGGACGGGGCTTGGCACTGCGGGGTGGAGGCGATTCCGCGGTGAGCTCTGCTCCATCTGCAGACCGAGCCTGTTGCACCTGTAAAGCCGCATCTCCCGTCCGGTGCTGGGGGGGAGAGCGCTGGTTTGCCGGGCAGAACTACCCGCAAGCAGCCTGCCCATATCTCACTCGGATGGGCTCATAAGCGAACCCTAACGCTTCCTGCTCACTTCGTGCTATTTTTCTACCCCTCTAGGTTAAAAAGGCAGTGCAGGCCTTGCTCGCTTACACAAAGACCAAAAATAAAGCGGATGAACTGCTTTTGAATGAGAACGAGAATGTATACTTAATGGTGACCGTGTGGAAGATCCCACCACACGAACAAGTAATCAAAATGTAAGAACTGTGCTACTGTCTTTCCTCAAAGGTTCAGATTTTCTGTATTCTATAAGTATCTTTCATCTGCTGTGGCATGCAGTGGACTGACCTTACATTCGATGCTAGTATTCCCATGAGACCACTATGGTTTTTTTTAAAGAAATAATTATATTTGTTTCATGAATTGTCAGTATCATCACAACTTTGGAGCAATGACCAAGTATGCTTGGGAGTTTCTTTGTTTTGTGAATCAGATATATAAAGGATCAGATCCATGCCTTGCTTGAAGTCATTTAGGTTACTTGCATAAATAACACTAAACTTATGCCTATAATCTGTATCTAGTGTACCCATCTTCTTAGTTTCTAAATAGCTGGTGTCTGTTTTTCAGTGTTGTTCTCAGTTCAGAAGATAACACTAAATGTTTTTTCAATTCTTTTATAAAATTGCTAAAAGTTTTCTACTTCTTTCTTTTGTGCCATTAATTAGTAAATGAATATTTTATTTTGAGTAGCAGTGATGCTGTATAAGAAATTATAGATCTATCTACTAATGGTCCCAATCCAGCAAAGGTTTCAACATATCCTTCTTTTCACATGCTCTACTTTGTGAGGTCTGTGGGAAGGGCGTGGACAGATGCTGATCTAGCAGCAGCCCCAGTCCGTAGGGGGCTGAGCTCCCCATGGACAGAGGCTCCGCTGCCCCCCCCAACTCTCGCTGCCAGCACGAGGTGGAGGTGCACGTGGCACTGTGGATCCAGTCCTGGGGGGAACTGGCTTTTAAGCCAGCTGCCCCAGCACCGGCTCCTGCTTCCTCCCCTGTAACCTCTTGTTGCCTCTGATATAGAGTCAGCAATGGTGGGGGAAATGCATGTAGTCGATAAGATTAATTGATAAGCCTAGGCTTATCAGTTAATCATATAGTTCGCTACATATTGACATCCCTAGTCTGTAGCATTTATCACTGTAATGATTTTGAACTTCTACCTAGGTCTAACTTTGGAAAAAGAGATTTGCATTTATTCTCTGAATGCTTTCACCCATCTTAACCTCTTGTTATAGACCACTTCCTTATGGTATTCGACCAGAAACAGCTGAAGTTTGCCTCTTCACAAAAGATGAACCTGAATTATCTGCAGAACAGACCGAAAACTTGTACAAGAAACTCTTGATCCAGAATGGGATCACAAGTATCAGCCAGGTAAAGGAAGACATTGGAATATGATATGGGATGTTAGTATCCTGTCTTTCTCCTTAAAACTTACAAAGAAAAACATGTGATTTCTAATGGAAAATATTAAATTAATTCAGCTGGTTCAAAATTTCGGACTTCTAATTTTTTGTAGCTTATCAAATTTTCAAAACTTCAGAATTTGCCCAAAGAAGTAAAATTGTCACTGCTTTCAGTATTATCTTACCACAATTGATCAGAGCAGGCTTATTGATTAATAGCTTCTTGTATTTTATTTTTAACATGCCATTAGTTTACAATAATTTGGAAATAGTTTTTAAAGTATTTTTAGAAACTTTTTATCAGTGTCTCCTAGTCTAAGTTCTACAATAACTTGACAGTAACTCTCCTAAGTTCCCCACCCGTGCTTTAAGAGGTTTATTTACTGATCAAAAATAGGTAGTGTGTACATATGAATTTAGGGATGTTAAATATCGGTTAACTGAATAGTTGAGTAACCTCGTGAATTCTTATCGATTAGTTGGCTATTCTATTGTCCCTAGGGGCGTGGCAGCAGCGTGGGGTGCCGGGCAGGAGCTGGACCACTAGAGGAGCCAATTAAAAAACCAGGTCCCCTCATGGACCTGTTGCCCTGCACTGCTGCTTCTGATAAGGAGGCAGCAGGGCGGAGTGGCAGTAGCCCTTGTCTGGGAGGAGAGGGGGTCCTGAATTCCCAGACCCGTCACAAGCCGGAACTGAGCTGGGCTGCCTATCTGCCTGGCTCCTAATACACTTTAAATGCAGAGCTGCAGCAGGGGTATGTCCCAGCTCTGTTGCAAACCAGGATTGAGCCAAGCTGCTGGCCAGCCCGCTAAAAAATGTAGTGGCAAGAGGAGGGGAGAGGGAAATGCATGTAGTCTATAGCAGTGGTGCTCAACCTTTTTTAATTTGTGACCCCCAGAGCCGGGGAAAATTTAGTTGAGGATCCCTGGTCTTTAGCTTTAGCTTATCGGTTAATCGACTACATTATTACACCCCTATATGAATTGTTACACAGAATTTTCTTATGCAAGCTGAAACAATTCACAGTTCACCCATTCTTAGTTGTTGGCTTCTGGGTTCTAATATGAATAAAAGGTAGTAAAAACTTTATTTTAAAATAAGTGGTTTTAGTTGGATTATCTGTGACCTTTTTTTGTGTGGCGGTACTGTCTGGAACAGCGTACCGTCACCTATTTTCCCAGCCCACAGAAAAGGAATGGTACTGGCACTTGTTTTCCTGGGATGGCTCGGCTCCTGATGGAAGCATGCTCAGGACGCACAGCATTTTTTTTCCAGCTGCCAGCGCAGCACAATGGCTCTTAAAGAGGCCACAATTGCATTTCTGCCCCTAGCTTGGTGTGTTTTTTGTTTGTTTGTTTTTGGTTTGCTCAACGAGTTTGCCCCAGAGTACCGGCACCTTTTTTCTTACACAAAAAAAAAGCATGGTGTGTGACCTACATTTGGCAGTAACATGCTTTTATTGCTATCTGACATCTGTGTTGTTTTGACTTTTTTATTCTGAAAAAACCTGTTTTTAAATTAAAAAAAGCATTGTCCGTTCTTCAGTTGGTCTTTTTGTTTCAAATAAAGTAGAGAAGAAGACACCAGAATACATTTTTAATGCAGAAATCTTAATGGATTGGCAGTCATACCACTCAGTTATATACAACTGCAGAAATACTTCATTTTCTTTTGCAAGGGAGTTTAATGCAAACATTACTTTCTCATTACAGATCATCTCATATAAAACTCTCAAAAGTGAATATAAACCATTTGAAGCAAAGCGTCGTCTGTTGAATAGATTTGATCTCTTCTTGGCCGATGATCGAATTAGAAGGCTTTTGCCCTCACATATAGGGAAACACTTTTATCAAAGCAAAAAGTAAGCCTAGTTAATGCTTGTTTATACTATAGTTTTCTTGGAGATTGCACTGTTCTTAATTTTTTTTCTTTTTTTGTTTTTGTTTTAGGGCACCTTTATCTGTAAACCTGAAAGCCAAGAATCTAGCTAAGGAACTAAACAAACATATCCAGGGAACTATACTTCCAGTAACCAACAGGGGTTGCTGTTAGTAAGTATCAATTTTTGGCTTGCACTTCACTTGAAGGACACTCTTGTGCTCCTAATAGTAGGATCAGGACACAATGCTTAATTAATTAATTAATTAAACTTCCCCTCCAGTAGGGCTTTGAATAAAGTGAAGTAAGGACTCAACCAAATGTAGAGTATTTGCAGTGAGCTTTTGTTTATACAGAGACCGTGGTTTGTGGGGGGAGGGGTTAAGTAGAAACTTTAACAAGGAGTTTTCACCTCTTCGCTGTAACTTGGAAAAAAAAATTGAGATGACATGACCATAGTCCTATTCATCACAGTGTAGTAAACATTAATCTCATATGCTCCTCAATTATGTTGCCTATTGATTGCTTAGGGTTAGTTATTAACAATAATAACCAATTTACTAGAACAATATATTGTATGAGAAGGTGTAATAGAATCTTGCAAAGAAAAAATAAATCACAAAAACAAGTGTCCAAATAGTGAGACGGCTGGTATAAATACCCTGTATATTAACTGTATAGTCCAGCATCTTTTTTTTTTAATTAAGATCATTCTGAATAGGCAGTACTCAGTTAATTTCTTGATATGCCTAAAAGCAAGTGCTTCAGTGAGAAGATTGATTTTCTGTAGGGTTAACAGCATACCTCTCTCTTCTTTCAGTACAGCACGCATAGGTCACACTGGAATGAAAGCTAATGAATTATTAGAAAACATCGCCGTTGCTGTTGAGGTGATTTCCAATAAATTGCCAAAGGTATTGTCACACGATTAAATTGAAATGTGAAGTGGACTTGATTTAAACATTTCTTTTTTATAATTACTTTTTAAATTATTGCAGAATTGGAAAAATATTAAAGTTCTTCATCTGAAAACACTCAAATCTGTTGCTCTTCCAATCTTCAATTCTTACATCCACAATTTAGATGAGCTTGACAAGCAGCCATCTGTGTCTCAAAAGGGAGGACAGGTAAAAACTTCTTATTAACTTCTTACTACAGGTTGAACCTCTCTAATCCAGAACGCTCTTGTCCAGAAACATCCATCTTCCCAAATGATTTGAGTTAGCCAGATGTCCACTTTTTATGGGTGTGCCCAAGTTTCCCGTGGTCCCATAAAGTTTGTTTACAGCACTAGTTAAAGCTCTCAGTGTTCTGTGTTCTTATTTACCTCTAAAAGCATAGTAAGCAGTGAAAGTGTTGGTAATGTTGCTAGACAATGTTGACCTCCTGTTGTCCAGAAAACTCTCTCGGTCAGAACCAGTCAGGTCCTAAGGGTTCTGGACTTGAGAGATTCAACTTGTCGCTTACAAAATAACTTTCCACAGGGTGGTGCTATAGCCATTAACTATTTGATTGCCTCTGTGGAAAACATGTTTAGGTTTAATATATTGGCATTGAGGATGCCAGCCATGTGGATGCAATGCACAGATAGCAATGCACATAAGTGATGGGTGAGCTGTTATCACCTAACACTTGTTGGCATGAGTGTGTGCTTTTACAACAGTACATGGTAATGGAAAACCACTGTTTCTACTTGAAGGAGTGTCAAATTGAAAACATAATCTTTATAGTGTTGCCAGTTTCCCCCCTTAACCTGGTAAAGGATGGGAACAGATTCCTTTATTTCTTTATATCCTTATTTCTGCTTTGAGGTCTGGTCTTCATGGACTAGCCAAGCAGGCCTAATGATGGGCTGGTGTGGGGTGGGGCAGACAAAGGGGACAATTACTCTGGGGTTCCTGGCTACTGCTACTTTAAATCACTGCCAGAGCCCAACATGGAGCAGTGTACTGGTTCAGGCAGCCCTGAGGGCTGGCTGTCCCAGCCCTGCCCCTTTCAGGGGCATATAGTGCCCTCCCCTCCCCAGCCCCAGACACATACACCTTGCCCATGGGACCAGAGAACCTGTCAGCTTGCCAGTAGCCAGCATACACTGCTTCTCTTATTTTCATAAGTAAAATGCAACAGATCACAATAAATTCTTAATCATATTAATTGAAAACAGTAGCCTTTTACTTAATTGCTCATAGCTGTAAATTCATCCCTCTGCACTTTGTGAACTTGTCAATATTGATGTCAGAGCATAACTTCTGTACAGGAAGGAGGGGGGATTTTTAAAATGAAGAACTAGTGCACTAATCTGCTAACCATATAATTTGACATATATTTTGTTAATGCAGGCAGTCCCCGGGTTACATGGATCCGACTTACATCAGATCCCTACTTACAAACGGGGTGAGGCAACCCCGCACTAGCTGCTTCCCCCCCAGCAGACCAGGGAGACGCGAAGCTAGTGCCCCCCCCCC